CATGTACAATCAATAACTCCTCCTGCTGCCAAATTCACTCACATCCCAAGCTCCAAGTTCCCAGTACTGTCCATGGAGTCTAGGGATGTGTGGCAAATCCTCATGGATTTTGAGCACGTTGCTGGATTAAAGCATCCAGAGCTTTTAACTTAACACAAAGACAGAACTGTTCTTCCACCCTGGAATTCTGGGCTTTCCCTCATCCCAGGCTGTAATTGCTGCTGTAACAGGAGCATGCTCAGCACGCATGGGAGGGAATGAACAATGCCTTGAAAGTGGCATTAATTACTAGGAGAAAGATGAAAGCAGTGGCAAAGCAGATGCTGAAGAGGTGAATCTGTGTGAAGTGATCGCCCTCTGTTAATCATTTATGAATTATTAATCCCCCAGAGCAGGAAGCTTGGTAAAATTTGACATTTGAGACTTATCTGTGATCAGACAGGGCTAGTAATGAATCCAACCATTTCCATTGGGGACAGTGTGATCATAAATGCCAAGAGGTGGATAACTGATGTTTCTCTAATGATGTCCTAACACTCTTCTTCTTGCTGCTCCTTTCCCCCAGCTGGTTTGTGTTCTGCAGTCTGTGTTGAAGTCCCATCTGAGACAGAGGCTGTCCAAGGAACTGACATGAAGCTACTCTGCATCTCCTGCATGAAGAGGGAAGAGGTCACAGCTAGCACAGTGGTGGAATGGTTCTACAGGCCAGAGGGTGGAAAGGATGAACCTGTATGTATGTTTGGTGGCTGAGCCCTTGTTTTCATAGGCCTTACTGTGAAACACAGTCCAGTGAACTCGTGTGGGAGAAGCCAAAAGGTATTTATGAGAGTGTAAGTTTGTCCCTTGGCAGGATCCCCAAGGGAGGCTGTGCAAGGGAAGGAGAGAGACAGAGATATGAACAAAACCTTTCTGCCACATGCTGATTTCAACTCTATAGAAATGCCTCACGGGCTGCTTGGCAGAGTGTCAAGCTTGGAATTCATCTCTGAGCTGGAGATCTTCATTATTTCTGCAGCATCTTCACCCAGAGGCTCCACAGCACCAATTTTGAGCAGCAATTAAAGTGTCTTTTCCTTGCTTAACCCATTTCCACACTTGGGCACTGCATGAACTCATGGCAGGAAAAGCTAGAATCTGTTCT